AGGTGTAAATCTCTCCTACCATAATATCAGGGGTGTGGTTGAAAGACAGCTGTAAGAAGGAGCCAAGAAGTGGCAGTAGAAAGACTGCAGAAAGAGTCAGGAGCCCAGAGGAGAGGGCAAAGGAGGTGAAGGGGTGGGGGCAGAAAGAGGAGATGAAAGCAGACAACAGAATATTGCTAGAGAGTAGAAAGGGAGGTGAAAGGAGACAATTTTAGAGAAGAAAATGTTTCGGTCGCTACCCGGATTCGAACCTGGGACTTTTGAATGAGAGGCCAACACCCTAACCTCTAGGCCACGAGAGCCCCCTGTTTAGTTTTAGCAGTTAGATACTGCGCCAGATCAATACAATCGCAGTCATACTGTTTACAGTTTAGTGCGACATACATCTAATTGGGTTATTTCTGAGCGTGTAACGCTCATTTTGGCCAGTAGGGCGAGCTGAGACAGACCGGCAACGCAACCAAATGCAAAGAGCCAGAAATTGTGGATAGGGAGAATGACTACTTCCGAAATGTTTATGAAGTCGACAATTTGTTTGTCCCAAACCTGAAAAGTTTGAAAGCTCATTTTCAAAAGCCGGAATTCAGGCATATGCCGGAAAACTTTCTCCCATGGAGCCAACTAAAAGAGCGGTACATGTATTTGTTCGGCGTGTTTTCCTCATCGAGCGGTATTACATAGCTGCTCGTTCGTGTGAGTACTCTCCCACCAGAGAAAGCGAAAAGAAAACGCAACTAGAAAAAAGGAACTTCTTGACCCTTATCTTATTTATTGTTTTCAAATATTCGAGAATTTATGAATTTTCCCGGGGCAATTGACAAGTTTCCTAAAATTCCCCAGGTCTCTGAGATATTATATTATTCAAATTCCGGGGGCCCCAAGGCGGGCCTGGCAGTCAACCTGACTATAAATTAGCATTTTTATATTACTAGGGAAATACTTTTGAAATCTAAGAACAATTGAAAACCCATGGACACAGAAGATGTAAAGCCACACTAGTGACACTCTCCAACCACCCCGAAGAACCATTCAGTGTAAAGTTAAAAAGCTACAAACACAAAGGGCAAAGGAAATATCAGGAATGTTTTTTTTAAAATTATTTAGTGGAGGTTTTACGGCTACATAAGGTCATATGAGCGCCAAGGGGTGGATGTCAACAGAGAAGTCTTTACAGGGAATCGGGCTTTCTCTGCTCACCTCTCTGGCTTTAACAGCAAGTCTGTTTTGACTTTCAAGGCACCCTGGAAATAGCTAGTCACGAGAGTGAGACAAACATACAAAAGAAGTAGAGGAAAATGACGATAGTAAGAATTAGGAAAGAAAAAGCAGCAGTTCTCCGTTGTTCAGGCACAGTTATGAGCATGGCATTGCTGAATCAGCCCATTTACAATTCTACTGTTCATAAGAACGAGAAATGTCCCCCCCTTTGGGAATGGCCTAAAGACACTTCAGTCAGTGGCACTGCCCGGGGGGGGAGCAAAGGAATGTGAAACAAAATGACTTCATAATGACATACACCTCAACCACCAGTAGCATGAAGACATGGTGATGCTAAACATACTTTTGTGGACTACATGTTCAACGAGACACCTGTACATTTACCTGTACACTGAGACAGGACAGCTTGACCAGTGTAGAGAGACCCTGCAGTTTGGTGATTTTGTTCTTGCCCAGGAACAAACTGTGCAGATTTACAAGCTGGTTGATTCCTTCGATAACCTTCAATGACAACAAACATAAGAAACAACATGTAAAATCTATGGTGGGTTTGAGTAATCGATTTATACTAGTACTACAGTATGTTAGATAAAGTCTCTCTCTCGCCTCGCTACGCGATGGCCCTATTCAATAGCGTTGAAATGAGAAGATACAGTGGCGGTTCGTGGTTTATAGAACTGACCGGCCGTCATTCACATCGACTCTTTCTCACTCCCCCCACCCCCTTCCTTCACAACACACACACACTCACACTCACACACACGCACGTGGCGTGCACGCACACACACATACTCACACATTCTCTCTCTCTCTCTCTCTCTCTCTCTCTCTCTCTCTCTCTCTCTCTCTCTCCTCATTTTCCCCCCTACTTTCGCCATCCCCACCCCCTCCCCAACTCACACACACCATTGTAAACATGATAATACAATGTTAAAGAGCTAAAATATGGTAGTGTCAAGAAACAAAGCTACGAATAACGTATAATGGAAGTTACAGAGACTAATAGAAACTGACTTGATCGGCACAGAAAAAGAAACACAACTATCCTAGAAAACAAACTGAAAGTGTATGATGACAAAAAGTCAATTGATACTGTACCAGTGACGCTGTCCCATGCAGATCAAGTCTACAATCAGATACTATACAAAGCTGGACAAAGTTAGCACACAACAGTTTCCAATCATTATATCATCAAACGTTCTTCATTGCACTTCTCAGTTCTCAGAACAGAACACTGCTGTAACAAAGTGGGGAAGCGTGTCAAACGCTAATTATAGAACTTGGTGTCTTGCTGGGGTGACGGTGGAAAGGGGGAGGGAAGGGAGGGGTAGGCCTAACTGTTCTCGGCCCAGACTGACAGCCGAGTGCCTATCGCTTCTCGTTATAATTCTCCTTATATATCTTAACTAGACGATTCCTCCTTTCGCCGGCCAGACTCCTATGGGCCAGGTAAGTTTTTAGTGGGGAAAAAGCGATGAATTAATACCAAACAGGACCTATAGGTGGCTAAAAATTCAATAAACAAAAAAAGATTAGTGCCATGCTGACAATAAATGTTCTGATAATAGATACAGAAAGGCTGAATGATAAATACATGTATTGCTGATAAAATAATATATGTGTCCGTGCTGCTCAAGACAGTCTCATTCTTAATTTTGTAAGCAACACAGAGGCCAATTTGGCAATTAAGGGATGTTCTATTCCCTCTGTAGACTATCGATGGATTTGCCCAGCGGACTGACGTCATTGCTGAGCGAGCCGTGTCCTCGTACGAAGTTCCACGACGTGACAGGAGACGATTTAACTGTAACAGTTGTGAGCCGGCGTGATAAACAAACGCGACAAAACAGCAAGGAATCACTTGTCTATTTGAACGTCTTCAAATCGGCAAGGCGCTTTTTGACTGTTGATACATGTTTGTTTGGATTTACTTAAAACTGAATGAAAATCATCATCAGCAATAAATCTCTTGTCAACTGTCCAGTTGACAAACCGTCCCTGAGAAGATAGGCATATATTTTCTTTTCGACAAGGATGTGAATACATAGTTGTCTGCTGACAGGGATCCTGATTCATATTTGTTTCGCAATGGCTATGTTAACAGCGCCATGAAGTAGTTGGCAGACTAGGTTCATCGCGCCCTGAATGCAGTCTGCAGGCGCTGTTGAGGCGACGTTCACGGCACTAAAGCTTCGTTTAGGGGGAGCGTCCACTGCCGTTTTAAGTCAGCCGGTTTTAGTCAGTGACAACAGTGGCGTATTTAATATTTTAGCCAGCTTCAAGTGTCCCCTCCCATGAGATGAAGGAAAACGAAAAGCCCTTACAGAATTAAAGTCCGGATATGGGATATGGAAAATTGGATATTACGGGAAACAAGACGAGAGAGATGGGAAACAGTGAACTGTAGGTGGGATTCGGAAGATGGGAATGGTCATAAAATGTGTACATGTACAATAATGACTATCTATATTGCACCGGGTCAGCCTGGAAACCAATGCAGAGAGAAAATGACGGGAATCAATTATTCTTATTATAATAACAAACCCTCTCTCTCTCTCTTTCTGTCTGTCCGTCTCTCTCTTTCCCTTTCTCTTTCCTTCTCTTTTCTTCCCCCTTCTCTTTTCATTTTTCTCTGTCTGTCTCTCCCTCCCTCTTTTCCCCCCTCACCTCTCGCTCTCTCTCTCTCTCTCTCTCTCTCTCTCTCTCTCTCTCTCTCTCACACACACACACACACATACACACTGCACGCAGACTAAATTGCACGCTTTCAACTCAAGGGCGCGGGAACGTTTGTTCTCCTCGTATATCACGGGTCGTCACGCGCTAACACAAAGTCGCGCCCAAGTCTTGTCCTGACGCCAGATAGGGAAATTGAAACATCTAGGTAGGCGTATACATTTTTGTCATATATAGATCTATCCTTATGCATTGTTGCATAATTGAGAGTTCATTTTCCCTTACACTGGCGAGTCTGAACCAGAGCTCGTGTAAGGGAAAACGACGAATGGTCGATCGGTCAAGGATCACTGCTTCGTTTTCCTTCATCTCATGGGATGGAACGCTTGAAGCAGGCCAAAATACTAAATATACGACACTGACAAAAACGGCTTACTTAAACCGGCAGTGGTCGCTCCGTCTAAACGAAGCTTGAGTGCCGTGAGCACTGCACTAACCTTCTTCCATGACTTTTTATTGTAGATCGGGCGTTTGGTAGTTTCCCGACTGACAAACAAGACGACACATGATTCAGCTTTCCGCAGATACGACATGTTGCATTTCTTTTGTCCACTCTTTCAAAGTTTCTGAATTTTTGTTCTTGACTGAGGTTTTCTTCGATGTTTGTCTTGTCCGTTGTATCTTTTGATCAATTTGGTTTTAGCCGACGAGGAGTGTTGAGCTTGTGGTAGGGTTTCCCTTCTTGTTCAACCTGTTGTGCACGTTTTCTTGGTAGTTGAACAGCTCTTGCAAACTGCAGCAGTTCCTGCAATTTGAGATTTGGATTGCTGAGTCCCTTTTCTCTTATTTTGAACCATTTGCATCCGATGATCATCTGTGAGAGGGCTCTCGTGGCCTAGAGGTAAAGGTGTTGGCCTCTCATTTAAGGGTCCCGGGTTCGAATCCGGGAAGCGACCAAAAAATGTTCTTCTCTAAAACTGTCTCCTTTCATCTCGTTTCCTGCTCTCTAGCAATGTTCTGTTGTCTGCTTTCATCTCCTCTTTCTGCCCCCACCCCTTCACCTCCTTTGCCCTCTCCTCTGGGCTCCTGACTCTTTCTGAAGTCTTTCTACTGCCACTTCTTGGCTCCTTCTTATAGCTGTCTTTCAACCACACCCCTGATATTATGGTAGGAGAGATTTACACCTAGCCTTCTCGGACAATTACGAAAAATCTCGGAAGGCCCGTGTGCAAGTTGAGCACGTTAAAGATCCCTTGGTGGTCTAAAATAGACAAGAGTAGGCTTCGGCCGCCAACCGGGCAAAATTCAAAATTTCATACCAGCTGAAAACGTTTAATGTGTCCTGTACGCTCATATGACCTTATGCAGTTGCGAGCGAGCGCCGTAAAACACTTACCACAAAAATTATTTTGTTTTATCTGTGGCTTTATTTCATCTCCTGTGTTTGAGAAGTCACATGTTGGAGCCAACTTTGGCGAGCTCGTTGCAAAAGTCATCAGTGTCATCTGTTTGCTGTTTCAGTTGATGAAAAGTGTACCACTGTATTTCCTTATTCACTTTTGGGTTAAAACGTTCAGTGATAGCTTCCAGCCACTAGCTTGTCGAAGTGTGAACCATCTTCTTCTGGGGTAACTTGAGATGAAGTTAAGTTTTCCACAATGTCGTTCAAGTCACTTCCAGCATAAGTCAGTACATATAGCAAGGCTTTCTGTCTTTTATCACTTGTGATGTCGTAAGAAACAAACAAATTATTCTTTAGCCTGGACACTCACTTTGTCAACCTAGAAGCTACACACCTTCTGATCTTGCGTCAAAAAGTTCGTAGCTGGGGAGTCGTGCAAAAGCCATGCTGTTTCTAGATCTAGATTTCTAGTATTGAAGATCAAACAGGCAAGGCAATAAGGAAAGGCAAAATACAACCCGAATAGCAGTGTCTGTATTTCAAACACTTGTTGGGACATTCTCGACGCCAGTGTAGTGCATACGTCTTACAAACACCTGCTAGTCATTGTTGCCATGCACGTTTATCCTTCTTTACTTTGTTGTCTTCACAAGGGCAAACAATTCTTAATTAACAACTTATACTTAATTACTTGATCGTGTCCCTTGGACTATAAACTAGTATATTAATAAGCTTTATTTTTTTACAGAATAGACAATTAAAAAAACTCCATAGAGAGTTCACACTCAGAGTGAGCAAGTCATGAGATAAATAGGCTCCTATGACGAGTTTAAAGGCAGAGGTGGGTGAAATGAATCTTTGGACATATTACATATTGACAAGAACACTGACGACAAAAATTGCCATGAAAGACTGACGACAAAAATTACCATGAAAGATTGATCAGTCATTAACACAGTTTTGACAACAGACAAGACAATAATTTTATTTTTATTTTATAAAATCACTTTTTTTTTGGAGGGGGAGGGTTAAATCATTAGTATTAGTAATAGTAGACTTCATATGGCCTAAATAAGGCAAGGGAGGGGGGTTTAGCTTATTTAGGCCACACACGCTCAAACTCCCTTTTCAGGTAACTGAGTTCGTTCCACTTTCATAATGGTGCACCTTTCTCATTTAGTACAGTTTTGTCTCAGTGTACAACTTATATTTATAATGAATTTTGTAAGAACAAAGCACGATACGCAAAATTTTGCTCAATCCCAGTGGTTTGAATGAGGGCCAGATTTTTCCTTCATGGAGGCTACCATTTTGGCACACTTTGGTCAAGTGAAAAGGTCAAATCCTCCGAATGGACTTCCGGGTCAAATT